TGCCGCATGGTCCTCGCAGGCGACTCCTGCCCCTACGGCCACCGCTGTCACTTCCGCCACGCCCTCTCCCCCTCCGACCACCGCCGCCGGTAAATCAGCCTATTTACCAAACTACCCATCCCGAATCCATCTATATAAATGTGAATATCTATAGAGACGGTTGAGGGGGGAGAGTTAGAGATAATTAATTACGTGGGTGGGTAATTTGGAAAATAGCATTCAGCAAATTGTATATTCCTTTCTGTAATAAGCAGAGGTTTAAGTCATACTAAGTATAATGGAACAAAAATGAGGAGTGGTAAGAGAGTTTAGCTAGTCTATGGTTAAGAGCTAGCAAATGTATCTAGTTATCTTAGATCCTTCATATTTCTGATTAATTTGGAGACGGAGATGAGAGTGCCAGATCCTGGCAATCATAATAGTACGCGAACTATTGAATTCTTTGTAAAGGATTGGAGACATTGAATTACTGCTGAAAGCCATTGATTATATTGCCATTATACATGTTGTGTTCCTGATAATACAGTTTTACATTATGAATGAAGCCTAGTAAGTATGCTTTGTTGGAGGTATTGGATACTTTTGAAAGCAAATCATTATATCGCAGCTATGAATGTGATGTTCCTGATTTTACTGTTTTACAGTATGAATGAAACTTAGCAAGTATACATTGTGTGCCACTGAATTAATGTTTCATTTACCGGATCAGTGCTCAACGATCAGCTCTCTAGCAGTGACAAATAATGCACTTAAAAAAAATCTTCATGTACAGGATCATCAAAGTCGCCTAATATTGGATTAAAAACTCTTCATAAAAGAGCTGCAAGACTTTGATTTGGTTGCACTTGTTTTCGTTACATTTCCTGTTTACTTCGTTAGCCCAAGTCCATTCCTTCTTATTTACATACGCATAAAACCATTTACTCTGGGAAATTGCAACTGTGTCAAAATGTATCAAGGCTATTGCTCAAGTGTTATAGCAAGGCCTGGTCTTTTCATCATTCTTAACTAGGGAATACAGAAATGTAAGGGATGGTAATTTCTATCAAAGAAAAACCTAATGTCTAAGTTCTTAATTGAAAGGAAAACTCGTATGTTTAGATTTAATTTTTCTCATGAAAAAGCATTAACTAGTTGCTGCCAGCGCAGACGACAAAACACATCACAGACGCAAAACGCTATATGATTTGGTACCCAACGCAAATGACAAAGAAACTAACAAAATATCTATTTTCAACTGCTAAATACGTCCACCAAAATCAAATTACTCAAGCGTCCCAAAACTTTGTAAACCTAATTTGACAAAAATTCCACAAAGCATATGATTTAACGAAAGCAAGAAACAAGCACGGGCCATCAGAAGTATCCAAGGAGTACAAACTAAACCAGCAAATGACTACTTCTGAAGTTCAAGAAAGTAACTACTAGAGGAAATCAATTGAGCAGATAATAATAAACTGTCCTCTAAGCTGCAGTTTGCTTCTTCAGCTTCCCGAGCTCTTGCCTGATAGCACTTCCTCTCTGGTACACCAACAATCAAAACAAATATGCGCATTAGTTTTGCGTTGAATACAAAACCGATAGAGAAGAATACAGACATATTACCTTGATCTTAGCCAACATGACCTTGAACCTGTCAAAATCATTCAAGGACGCTCTCCGCTTCTGCACGATCAACTTCCTTCCCCAGGAGCTGTTCTCCCATTTGTTCTTCACATCTGAAATTAATAATAAATTCAAGTTACACTGGAAACAACAGCAAATGTTTCAAAGTAGGACAAGTATCTACCAGCAGCTTCCATTGCAGCAATCAAGGACTTCTTTTTCGGGATCCTTGGGATGTCAATCTTGATATCAGGCTGCCAGCGCAGACGACAAAACACATCACAGACGCAAAACGCTATATGATTTGGTACCCAACGCAAATGACAAAGAAACTAACAAAATATCTATTTTCAACTGCTAAATACGTCCACCAAAATCAAATTACTCAAGCGTCCCAAAACTTTGTAAACCTAATTTGACAAAAATTCCACAAAGCATATGATTTAACGAAAGCAAGAAACAAGCACGGGCCATCAGAAGTATCCAAGGAGTACAAACTAAACCAGCAAATGACTACTTCTGAAGTTCAAGAAAGTAACTACTAGAGGAAATCAATTGAGCAGATAATAATAAACTGTCCTCTAAGCTGCAGTTTGCTTCTTCAGCTTCCCGAGCTCTTGCCTGATAGCACTTCCTCTCTGGTACACCAACAATCAAAACAAATATGCGCATTAGTTTTGCGTTGAATACAAAACCGATAGAGAAGAATACAGACATATTACCTTGATCTTAGCCAACATGACCTTGAACCTGTCAAAATCATTCAAGGACGCTCTCCGCTTCTGCACGATCAACTTCCTTCCCCAGGAGCTGTTCTCCCATTTGTTCTTCACATCTGAAATTAATAATAAATTCAAGTTACACTGGAAACAACAGCAAATGTTTCAAAGTAGGACAAGTATCTACCAGCAGCTTCCATTGCAGCAATCAAGGACTTCTTTTTCGGGATCCTTGGGATGTCAATCTTGATATCAGTCAGGGTTAGCCTCTTGAAATTCATCTGGCCACGTACCATGTCAGGGGCATCGACCAGAGCCTGAAACAAATTTCAATAAGCAACCGCATATAAAAGTCTTCTCAATATGATTATTCTGCTTGGAAGTTTAAATCAGTAAAGCATTTATTAAAATCCACAATGCAACATGAACTGCAGACAACAACTGCTCAGAAATCCAGAACTTTTTAGAGACGCTACACAAATTTCCAGGCCAAGTAGTTCTAAAGCATGAATATTAAAGATAACATCCCATGATCATACACAAAAGTTGTGTTACAATTAGATTTTTGAAGTATGTCAATACACATTTTTTCCATTTTAGTTTAGTCAACCAACCTAAAAAAGATAATAACATGTCGCATTGAATATATAGCATGAGCTTCTTTTTAGAGAGCACCGTTACCATATCTAGAGAAATCAAAATGCACTTAGTACGTAACAACTCATAAAGAAGATGCAAGCAGCAAAAGAAACTTGATCTTATTCCTAAATCAATAAGGGTGAGTTGAAAAAAATAAAATAAAATAAAATTAATAACCTACAGCACAAGCCTCCTTAGGGGACTTACAGTTTCTGTTGCTAATATAAATTCACTTTTTTCAGCCCATCCACGTCACATAACCCTTGTTTTAACCATATTAAATTTTGACTTATAACTTCTTTCCAAATAATGGCATGTCATGAGTGATTTCTGTCGAACAAAGGCTGCAAAGTCAATGTGATCTCAGATAAAAACCCAACATTGGTCCTAATCTGGTATAAAATCTTGAAAACATTTTGATTAAAAGCCAATAATAGTTACTTTCAAATGAAAACTGTCTAGTTTCAAACACCCCAAGAAGTTAGAAACTTATCTAAAATATGCAAGACTACTATCAAATAAGATTTTATTTTAGGAACTTGTACAAAAAATAATATAACATATTGGCCGTTCAAAAATTCACTCGGATCTCAGTCATAATATTATCAACGAAACACATATACATTTATATTTCTTAATAAGTCACTCATTATGTCTTCATTTTGGGAGAAAAGACAATTAAGAAGAGAAAAATAATGCAGGAATCTCACACACGTCCCGTACGGAAAAAAAGAAATCTAACATTTGAATATAGCTCATCCAGTGACATCACTACTTTCATACAAATTAACACCTGGATTTTGATGATTCTATTACATTATCAACATATGGACATCCAATTTAATATAAATGTTAAAATCCAGCAGTAATTAATGCTTTTTGTTCCACTGGTGCTGCTGAGTCATAAAACATGATTCGGATCCTCTCCACTATCTAAATAGTAACGAATGGACCACTACATAATCACAACCATTAATTATCTAGTTGATGGTTGTGATTTTTTCTTTTGGGTGCAAATTAAGAATGAGTGCAATACACGGGGCTATGGTTAATGTTAAATTTAGATTGTATCATAAATGCCTACTAAGTAATCAACGATTGAGACTAAAAGTAGTAGTCTCTCAGCTATTTTTTTTTTGTAGCGGAGAGGATCCAAATTCCATAAAACAATACACTCGATAACAAAATCTAAACTTTGCTAGATTCTTCACTGAACAGAAACATGACAAATAATTAGGTAAATTGTTAAAGAAACAACTGCAAAACTTAGAAATATCAGACGTTTGATTCTCAGCCCACATTCATTTGAAATATCACTAAACAACCAGCTGAGCGAAAGGAAATTAAAAAAAATTGCTCTTTTAATAAAATGTTCACATCCTAAACTACAAAAAATCTGGACTAAATATTATAAAATGGAGGAGATCGTACTCTGTTCTGATCGAGGACATCAACGATGACGACGAGCCTGCCATAATCCTTTCCGTAGTTAACGAGCGCCACTCTCCCAATCTCCACGTAGCGCTTGAACGGCTGAAATCAACAACAACAACAACAAACAATTAATCAGTGGAAATAAAAACACCAGGTTTGCGAAAAATTCGAAGAGATGTGGAGAGGGAATCTGATCTCTCACCATGGCTGCTGCGGCTGCTGCTTGGAGATTTGCGGCGGGAGAGAGGAAGGGATATTTAGGGTTTTCTCTCGCTAGGGTTTTTTACTTGACTAGTGAGTGGGCCTTTTATTGGTTCGGTTCGTGTTGAAATAACGAGTTTGCCACTGGACCTGTTTGGGCTGGGCTCTTCTGGGCTGCAGAAAATAAGCCCTGAAATATCAAAGTTTGGGCTCCATAGTGGTGTGCATTTTACAAGCAAAGTAAGTGAACGAAGCAAGTCAAGCAAAATTTCAGAACATGATTTGGCATCTTCAGGTCTTGCATAAAATTGCATAAATTTATTATTTCTTTATAAACATACATTTCCAAATTAAAAAAAAAATATCATATTTGTAAGGAACTATATTATAGTTCAGGATAGTTTCTTAAAAAATCATTATATTTGTTGATCGGCGCAAGAGTTTATGTTATGTTAGTTATTTTATTTGAAATTCATTCTGGTTTTATTAAGCGTAAGTAAAAAATTTGTGATATAGAATTCATGGTTACTATTTTGATATTTACAGGGTTGTTTCTACTGATTTGGAAGTCTGTAGTTCTTTTCTAATAAAATACTTTATTATGTTTTTGTACAGGTCTTTTGTAATACAATATGATTATATCTTGAATTGGATAGGGAATTTTTTTTTAACATTTTTTTGGATGATAGATTTTTTTTCTCTTCAAGCTTGTACAATTTGTTTTTCCTTTTTTTTTATAAACATACATTTCCAAATTTAAGGAACTATATTATATTTGTTGAGCATAGAAGTAAAAAATATCATATTTGTAAGGAACCATATTATAGTTCATGATAGTTTCTTAAAAAATCATTATATTTGTTGAGCATCGGCGCAAGAGTTTATGTTATGTTAGTTATTTTAACATTTTTTTTGGATGATAAAATATGATTATATCTTGAATTGGATAGGGATTTTTTTTAACATTTTTTTTGGATGATAGATTTTTTTCCTCTTCAAGCTTGTGCAATTTGTTTTTCCTTTTTTTTGTGATCATTTCAAGCTTGTATAATTGATTCAACTGAAAGTTAAATTCTATATTTATTACGGTGTAATGTAGTACTTGGTGGAGCTTAAAAATAAAAACACACTACTCAAATTTCTTAATAAGTAACTTTATTCTGTAACGCTGTAATCATTTATAATTTATACTATTTTATTTCTCTCATTGAAAAGGTCGTTGTCCGATATATACCTTAAATTTTCAACGAACGGTTGATACTCTACAGCTCACCATCTTCTAAATTTCTGAATACAAGCTTAGCTAATTTATTATGTTATATAAAATAACTAGTCTCAGAACCATACAATTTACGGATTGTTTAGTTTTTAAATTTGTAATTTTTTTAACGAGAATAGAAAAATGTCACAATTTCCCAAATTAAAACAACAAAGTAAAATTAGGATATTAAACAAAAAAGGGTCACTAACTCAGTATTGCTCAATTGTGGATAGACATCCTATGAAGTTATATTTGTGCTATTAGATCCTGCGGATTAATTTTTAAAAGCTTAAAAGAGTCAAAAAAAAAAAAAAGTTTTGACAAGGCAGACAAATCCCTTGTAGTTTTTTTAGTGAGAATAAACTTCCAATTGCTGAATTTTTTTCACTCTTAGAATAATAAAAAAAGTTCACCAAAAAGATCTATCTTTGCTCGGGCAAATAATATAGATTTCTATCTAGGGGTGTCCATCCGGGTCGGCTCGCCCGGCCCGGCCCGGGAAACCAGGTCGGGCAAAACCGAAGCCTGGACCCGGGCCCGGGCCTGAGTAGGCCGGGCTCCGGGCCAGGCCGGGCTCCGGGCCAGCCCGGTTTTTTCCCATTTTTTTTAATTTTTAAAAAATAATAAATTATAAAATATACATAAAAATTACAGAAAATGTCATAAATTTTTTAATAACTTGAAATGACATAAATTACAAGTACAAAAAAAATATAAAAATAAAAGATGATGAAAATAATTTCTTTATTAATAATCAGTAAATCCTTTACAATTATAAATTTATTTCGAAATTCGTCGCATCACAATAGATGAGTAAATCTCAACTAGGTTGGCACATACTCACCCATATCGCTATCATTTGTAACTTTTTTTGAAATAATTCATTACAAATTTAAAGCTAAGAAATAAAAAATTATAATTTGATGAATATTATCTAATTTTATATCTATCTGCTAGTCCCAACTCTTCAAATTTATCTTCAATTATAGCAATCCGGTCGATGCCTTGTGTTCGCTTCTCGTACCTCTACCAATCTTGTAAGCACATCACCGTTTGTACAGTATACGGATCTAAGCATGTCATGTGGTCGTCAATCAAACGTCCTGCTGTGCTGAAGGCGGATTCCGAAGCTACCGTCGAAATCTGCACTGATAGTAAGTCACGAACCATGGTGGAAAGTATAGGATATGAAACTGATCCATATACTCACCACCATAGCAAAAATATCTAAGGTATTTCCTTGACATTTAACTAAGAAAGCAGAAAAATATTCATCTAATTCTGAAACCTCTACTCCTGAACCAATTCTAGATCCACCGGTTAGTTCAGCTACCATTGCATACCTATCAAAACTTACACTTTTACCTCAACTTGTGCTCGAAGCCGAAGGCGCTAAAGCTGTAGACTGTTGTGCAGCTACACCATGTCTAGCTGCAAACTCATCATATAATGTTTTAAAATAATTTCTAATAGATAAATGATGAGAAGTAGCAGTAAGGGTGGAACCATCATCTAAGTCTATAATCTATCCACCATACAATGACTGTAACAAACTTCGAAGACAAATATCCTTCAAACATGGATTAATAAGAACCCCCAAACAAAAAATATGATGAATATGCCTAAAATACTTATGAAATTTGCGCTCCATTTAAAAAATTATTTTTCCAAAAATATCATCCATACGATATTTGGCAAAAAAGTTTTGACTATTTAAAATTTGTAAAGCAGCTAAAGTAATAGTTGGATAATAACAACCAGATAATAACATAGTAGCATCATAAAAAACTTGTAACATCTCATTTAATTTACATATAATTGTCCATTCATCTTTACTTATTCCATAAGTGCTACCAGAGGTAGAACTAGAAGCATAAAAATTTATAAAATTATTTATACTTTCTTTATATTCTATTGCTATACTTAACATTGCATATGTGAAATTCCACCTATGGTCAACATCTTTTGGAATTAGTCTAGGCTTATAATTTTTTCTTTTACAACATTATTTCCATCTTTTAATTTTTATTTCAGAAGCATTATGCATATTAGTAATTGTTCTAACCTTTTTTATCATGGGTTTAATTTTAGAAAATGCACTTTGAACAATTAAATTTAAAATATGACAGATACATCTAACATGAAAAAGATCATCATGATATAGCAATGACAGAGTTGTTTTAATAAAATCAACAGCTATATTGTTATTACTTGTATTATCTAACGAAAGAGAAAATATTCTTTGATCAAATTCTAGTTTCATAAGTTCTTTAATTATTAAATTTGCAACATTAATACCAGTGTGTGACTCTTCAATTGCAATAAAAGAAATAACTCTTTTAAACATTTACCAATTTTCATCAATCCAGTGTGCTGTGACACATAAATAACCAGTTTGTACTCTAGATGTCCAAATATCAGAAGATAAAAAAATTACAGTTTAAACTTTTAAAATAAGAAATCATTTTTCCTTATTCCTCCTGATAATATTTTAAAATATCACGTTGACAGGTTTGATGAGAAAATTTTGTAAATGCGGGATAAAAACCATCTCTAAACAAATCTTCAAATTCATCATCTTCTACTAATTTAAAAGACAGTCTTTTAAGAATAATAAACCTGATTACGCATTTTCTAGCTCGGGCAGCGTCATAATTCTAACTACCGAGGGTACCAGAAGAGGAGGATTGGGAAATCATAGACTGTCGGATATCACTTTGAAGATTATGGCCTTTGTTGTGTTTTTCTATATGGCGTTTGAGATGGTTGGTGCCGCTCTTATGATGAGCTTGGAAAACATGGCCGCACAACGCATATTTTGCCTCTGGGAGATGATCCTACCGTGTTCATCATTGGTGACATCTATATTCTCAAAAAAATTTCACACATCGGATCTCTGTCTTTTAGGAGCTCTTGGTGCAGTAGATTCGTCAGCACCAGATTCAGGATTAACACCGACAGGAGGAGGAGTAGTTGTTGTAGGAAGACTCATTTCTGGATCGGTAGGAGATATGTGTTGCTCTTCATAATCAGATCCAGAAGCTATTTGATAGAAGTATTAGAAAATATAATAGATTATAAGAGAGTATAATATTGTATATGAGAGTATTAGAGAGAAGTAGAAGAGTTTTGGTGTGAGGAGGAGAAGTGAAAACCTCCCTCTATTTATAGAGGCAGCCCCTAGGCAAATGACCAAAAAACCCTCATATTCTACCCTTTTTTGACCGTTTTAAGGGGCAAATCGGTCAAATGCCCAAATATGACCGTTTGGCCGGTCCGGACCGGTCCGGACCGACATAAACGGTCAAAAATGACAGTGGCCTGCCGCTGGCCCGCCATATCCGCTACCAACGGCCCGACCCGACCTGGTCATATCCACCAACGGTCACAAATTGTGGATCGGTTAGCGCCGACTTGGCTGGCCGCCCCGGCCCGCCCGGTTTTTTTCATCAACGGTCACCCCAAGGTTGACCGTGCGGACCCGGGCCGCGGTGCCCGACACTGTTCTGGGTCGGGCCCGGTTTCGGACCGGACGACTTTACGCCGACCCGAGCCCGGACCCGAGTTTGGCCCGGGTTTCCGGGCCGATCCCAACCCGGCCCGGGGCCGTGGGATTTTTGGACACCCCTATTTCTATCTACATAAATAGAACTATCATGGTCTATTCACAATTGTAGTAAAATATCACGTGTTAATCAGATTTATGCAACCATAACCTTAAAGAAAACATGTTTCCGCTTGGACTTGTGTTTCTACTTCAAAAATTGTATCTTTGCAACAAATATTGGGTATATGAGTACGTATATTTTTTTTTAGAGGGAAGGATGC